GCCGGGACCGTCCGGCGCGCCCGGGGAGGAGCCGCCGCCTTCCCCTTTCCCCGAGGCCTCGCTCCGCGCGGAGGAGCGTCCGCGCGTCGCACGTCCCTGTGGGGGGAATATTCAGCCTGGGAAAGCACCTGCACCGGGATGCGGGGAGAGGAGCTTGTGCGGAGGGACGGGGCCTCCCGGCCATCCCCGCAGCCCCAGGGACGCCGGATGGGCAGGGGCGTTAAACTAAAGAGGATTAAACGGGTTCTCATGAAAGCCGGGGGTGCCTGGAGGGGAGCAAAGAGCCTCCCACGTGCCCCCAGCGCTGGCCAGGACGCGAGGCTGGAGCCGCTCGCCTTGGGAGACAGCGAGAGCCGGCCGGGGAGCGGAGGCTGCCGAAGCGACCCCAACATCACCTGGCTGCCTTCCAGACTCCCGAAAATACCGACTCACACAGCAGAACGTCTCCCGGCAGGAGCGAGATGGAGGCAGCCGCGTGGCGCAGGTTTCCGCAGGGCGGAGGTGTCCGGCGGGGAGGGCAGGTGGCCCCGCAAGGCCCGCGAGCAGCCCCAGGGCTGGTCTGGGGACTCGTGTCCATCTCCCACCCCTCTCTGGTAGGATAGGGGCTGCAGTGGGAAAACACGAGGCCGCGCTGGCAGCAATCGCGTCCCGGCTCATTGGGATAAGGTCTGCAGGACACATTTCCCTGTGAATAGCTGCGGTTTGCTATCCGAAGGTGAGCGGGCAGCATTAGCCCTGGAAAAGGTCAGGAGTGCAGGATGCCGCGGGGAACCTGCCGCTCACCACCCGCTTTCCCCCAAAACAAGGTGCAGAGCAGCGCGGCGGTGGGGTTGTTCCTGGAATTTCCCTCAAAAGAAAGGGATTCGGCAAACTTGCCACCTTCCGCGAGGAAACAAAGGGGATTCAAACACTCTCGAAGGAGAGAATTGAACAAACTCAGCAGTCTGGAGTTGGAGGTTCGGTTTCCTAGGATAGACCTGGAAATGGCCTGTTCTCTGTGAGAAATTTGGGATGGGCTGGTGGCCTTTTCCAGGAAAAAAATAAAAAAGCCACTTTTGAAAAGTCACGAGCGCAGGGTAATATTTACCAACCCCCTGGCTGCCTCTGTAATGAGAGACCATTTCTGTTTCGGTCCGAACTGTGTTAACTGTTCAAAGCGGCCTCAAAAAGCAATCAAGGGGAAAAAGCAGCAGAACAAAGACGAAGAAAAGCCTGGGAGTTAGGAAAGACCCCCCAGCAGCTCCAGCAAACGCTGTCGCGCTCCAGGGCAGGAAATTTCGGGGGCTGGAGGCGCAGGGGGAGGCTCGGTTAAGCTTTCCCCGCCAGCCCTCGGGTTTTGCCTGCGTTGCTGCCCTCGGAGGGCACTTACATCGGAGGGTCTCGTGGCTGCCCCGGCACCAGCCTGATTTGTTCCTAGGTGCCTTCAAACGACTGCTTCGGAGCACGGAGCGACCGGGATATTGCGCTTTCTTGCACCCCTGGGGGACTGCACCAGTGCATCATTGTTGCTTCCCAAGCTCAAAAGTGTCTTTTTTTTCCTCTTTTTTGTCCTTTTAATTGCTGTTTGGAAACCACGCTGCTAAACGTGCGAGAGGCAATGTCTGAGTTCGGCAGCGTGCATGGAAGTCCGCAAAGTCCGTTCAACCCGCTTTCACGATTCCTCCTTCATTCACTTGTTTGCAACTGTCCTATCTTCCTGGCCATCAGAACAACAACAAAAACCCACCAAAAAGCTTTTTTTTTTTTTGGGGGGGGGGGGGGGGGGGGGGGGGGGGTCAGTCTACCTCAACAAGACGGAGACTTGTGCCATAACTCTGACAATAGCTGCAGCCCATATTTAGGCCTTGCTTTGGGGAACAGCCACGCCATTTCCAAGCAGCTATGGGCTGCGACTAGGAAAGCCAAAGCCCAAATCCAGGTTTCTGATATCCCTGTAATTGAATTTAAGGAGAAAATCGATTTGTTGCAGTGCACGTTCCTTTGCTTTTATGTCAAGCCTTTTTCCACCTGCAGTCCTTGCTTCCAAATCCATCCACATTCAGGCTGAGGGCAGGAAACCATAACCGTATCGGTTCTCCGATAACCATCTGGAGAAAAAGGAGCTCTGGGGACAGCAGTAGGAGGTTTTGGGCAAACTCGGGCTGGCGACGCAGCTCTGCCCACGCAGACCTACCCCAGAGCCCCAGGGAAGGGCCTTGCTGGGAACCCCGGCCCACACGGGGAAGGACAGACCTGCTCCAGCAGGGAAGCCCTGTGCGGAGCCCCGTTTGCTCCAGAAGGCGCTGTCAAGGCCCCTCTTCTTCTCTGGTTCCTTTACAGGACCCTCCCTGCGTGCGGCAGCTCGGCTCTCTGTGTGCGGCTCGATGCGTCCCCGGGGCTCCTCGCTGCCCCCGACGCTTCAGCCGCTGGGCTTTGGGGCTCCTCACGGCGCCTCCCGCACGCAGTCCTGGCGCCCTCCGGTGGCCGCCTCGGGAAGGGCCGGCGAGGCGGGAGCGGCTGCTGCCGCCGCCCCCACGCGGGCGTTTCTCCCGCGTGACGGGGGCTCGGCCCGGCGCCTGCACGGGAGGCACTGTGGCGGCTGCTGCTGCTGTGGGGCTGCTTGCTTCGAGCGCCCGCACCACCGAAACGGCAAAACCCGGGGGGGGTTCCACTTTTATTAACGGTACAGAGCATGATGTGAGGCATTACCTCAGCCAGAGTGTAAGTAGAAAGGAAAGTGATTCCACTCTGCAAAAATAACCAGCGCTATTTGGTTCCCTAAACAAAGCACACGGGTGGCAGAGAGACAACAGCTCCAAAGCTGGCTCCAGACGCTCAGCGGGCTATAAATAAAGGACACGAACAAGCAGGGGAGCTTTCCCGGAATGAAAGGGCAGCTGCTTCCAGTGGCCGTGCAGCGGCCCCAGTCAGCAGCCAAGAGCAGGGCGCTGCTCAGCTCTTCACAGGAGTGGACGTGGCCTTCGTGGTCTTCTTTAGGTGATGGTAGTTTGGCAAGATCTTCATCAGGAAATCCAACTGCAGCGTTTGGGGCTGCAAAGACAGACACTCCAAGAGCTGCACAGAGGTGCCGGAGTTTATCACGTCACGTCGGGCACGAGGAGGGGGACAGAAGCCATGCCAGGCCCGCCTGTGGGGCGGCAGCTCCCCACGCAGCGCAACACCCACCTGCGGCCGCTCGGTCTGCACTCGACGGAGGCAGTCGGCCCCATAGATAACGGTGTTCTCGGGGATTACCTCGTACGTGTTGATGTTACAGCAGGCCCCGATGATGCAGCCGCTTGTCAGAATCACATTCCTGCCAACAAACGCTGCGACACAGAGAGAGACATCTCTGCAGGAGGCGGAAAGGGGAGCCTGGACAGGCAGCCTTGCTCAAAGCCACACGGCCATTTCCAGACTCCCTTCTCTGCCCGCAGCGTGGTTAAGCCCTCCATCCACAAACACCCAAATCACTAACTGCTCAGCCTCAAGAGAAGGAAGCAGCCAAACCCAACTCCCGCCAACAAGCGGCTGCAGCACAACACATCAGACGTTCACCAGCATTAAAAGCACGGCTCTGTGGCTATAACAGGCCCAACTAAAGACAACACAATCTGCAAGAGCAAAGACAAGCCTTTACCTTTCGATTCAATTACATTATTATCTCCCACTTTCATAGCCTGCGAATCTGAAGGCTAATGTTAAGGAGAAACATAAAATTCTTAGCTGTTACTTCGGAGAGTCCCCCTTGATATCATTTAAACCAACGAACAGCCTGGGACGTTTAACCCTTAACAGGGTGCACATGTGCTTCCTTTTATGCGGGTCTGGAGGCACAGTGCACTAGAAAGCCCCCTTTCCACACACAGCAAGGATACAGCACCCAACTTCAAAAACATTATTGGTGCCGATAACCATCGGTTTTGGTTCCACCTCTTCAGTTTCCGGGGTGATATTTTCAGGATATCTTCAAGATGAAAGAAAACATTCCAAATTCAACATGAGAAAGACGCTGACCAAAGACCTTGCTGTCCTGCCTGACAGCTGACTCTTCAGTTCTGTTACAAAGGCTGAAGTCGCCTATATCCTACCCATGCAACCCTACAGACGAACACCGCACAAAACCAGGAGGTGCCCAGGCACAGACTGCCAGGGCTTTCAGGGGGCCTGTCCTTGCCCAGGCTCTTATATTGTAATCGGGATTAGGAGGACATTTTTTAAGTCAACATCTCGCTCCTTAAATAACTGTAAACACGACCTCACATGTGACAAGACTCGCAGATAAAGGAGAATCTTAAAACGTGAGAAATATAAGCATCTGTGTGGATCTAAAACTGCACAGTTCTGCACTAGGGCAGTCTATCTCCCTCTGCAGCTTTAGTCCTCTGAGGAACAATCGGCAAAACACCCATCCCGTAAACAGCCAACACAGGGACAACGCTGCCCATCACAACAGGGCAGTGTCTTGGTTTTGGGGGGGACACTGTTCACAGCAGCCCCATGGGGATGAAGGGTTAGGGGCTTGAAATGACTACGGGGCTGCGGGGGCTGCTCCCCCGCGGGGAGCGTTTTACCCACCCGTTGATGATGAGCGCCTGCTCTTCTATGAGGTTCCCTTCGCCGATCACGATGGGCCCCGCCTCGGCGATGATCCTGGCCTTGGGGTGGATCACAGTGCGCGGCCCTGGAGGGACGGGGGGGGCCGCGTCAGCGCCGCGCGGAGCCCCCTCCCCGCGGAGCCCCCTCCCCGCGGCCCACGGGCGCCTTACCGATGGTCACGTCGCCGCGGATCTCGCTCTCCACGCACACCACGGCGCCCGGCGCGATCTTCACGCTGCGGGGCACACGCGCCTCAGGGGGCGGCGGCGGAGGGGAGAGAGGGAACCGTTGGGGCGCGCGGTGAGGGAGGGGGCGCGCGGCGGTTAGAACCGTTGGAGCGAGCGG